TATTCGGTGCACTGGTTTGCATTGTCTGCGCTGGCTGCTGCGCGTGCCTCTCATCGTCGCATCGTCGAAAATGTGACAGGCCAAGTCTGGGCCAAATCGAGAACTGATCAGTCAGAATCAGGCGTATTCGAGCGGTTCAATGAGGCGGTGGCATGATTGCTGATGCCAGAGCCTCTTGCGAGCCCTAAGCAACAGCTGGAGCGAGCGCAAACAGCCAGGCTCAGCCCGTACGTTGCTAGCGACACTCGCCCACTGCTTTATTTTAGTATGATACCAATCAACTTTCCAATCAATCAATTTATAACACCTCTACCTCCACCTATACAATTAATTCCTTCCTTCCTTCCTTCCTTCGTCCTCATTTTTTCAACACGAGTCACTTATCATTTCATTCTACTAATCTTTCAAACTCAATTTTCAAACAACTATTGACTTTAGTTCCTTTTGAATTTCTACAATAATTCTTTCAACTCAATGTGAGCAATCAAAACTTTTCCACAAAAAGAGAAGAAAAATACAATATCTATAATGACCTTTGTCACCAATCTCATGTTCTATTTCGTTCGTTGTTAAAACATTTTCAGATATTGTACTTTTAACCAAATAACTGCTTTTAACATAATTATCAACTAAATTTACAACAAAAGAATATTCGCGAAGAGAAAAAAGAAACTTTTTTAGCACAAGTGGTTTTGTACTTTGAAAGCATGAGATATCAGCTACAACGGTCGCAAGAATCTAATGCTTCTTCGGTATTAGACTCTTGCAACTGATTACGCAGTAGGAAATGCAATAATTTTACAGTCACATTTTATGATAAAGTAAAGATTACAACTTTTGTAAAAACAATTTTTGGTATTGTGCAAATTTTATTATTTTAACTTCATCAGACTTAGTTTAAGTTTCTTGAAAAATTGCCCATGTGCAGGCCTCGGATTTTATGACTTTTTCGACTTATTTTCAAAAATTACGATTTCTTTTACTTTTCTTCAAAATATTGCAAGATTTTTAGCATAAAATGGATTTCATTTCTATTTCAGGCTTCGCACTCATCTACACGGAGAAAAATATAAAGTAACTTTTACTACTTTTATAGTAAAAAATTTCCGGTAATGCATTTCTGGTAATTTTTACTACTTTTGGAGTAAATTTTGCTACGTTCGAAGTAAATATTTGAAAAAATTAGTAAAATTTACTTCGAACGTAGCAAAATTTACTCCAAAAGTAGTAAAAATTACCAGAAATTTTTTACTATAAAAGTAGTAAAAGTTACTTTATATTTTTCTCCGTGTACTAAAACCTAATATTTACTACTTTTTTACGTTATGCTACTATTTGGATACTTTTTTTAGATTTCAGCCACTAAAAGCTACTATTTCTGGTTTTTTTTTGAGAATTTACACTACTTTAAATTCGCTAATACTAGAAATCAAAAAACTATTCTCTAAAATTATAATCAAATTCTTTAAAACGATTCAATTATTTTCAAAAAATATTCGCAATTCAATTATTTTCAATATCTAGTATTTTCATGAAATTTCACAAAAGAATTCAATTATTTTTAAAAAAAAATAATAAAATACATCCAAAATTCAATTATTTTCATAAATAATATTTACACAGGAATTCAATTAATTTAGAACAGCATTTTCAAACAAATTTCGAAAAAATCAATTATTTAACAAAATTTTTATACAATTCTTCACAATAATTCAATTACTTTCACTAATAATAACATTTTTTATTGAAATTCAATTAAAAAAAAAAATTTTTTTGATAAAATTCTACGCAAGAATTTTATTATTTTCATAAATTATAAAACTTATCGAAGAATTTCAATTATTTTTAATTACTATTTTCCACAAGAATTTAATTATTTAAAATAAAATTTCCATAATATTTATTATATTTCGAAAATATTAATTATTTAAAACAATGTTTATAAAATTCTTATGCAGAATTCAATTACTTTTAAAAATAACAAAAATTTTCACTAAAATTCAATTCTTTTTAAATATTTTTTGCAATAACTCAATTATTTTCATAAATAATAAAATTCTTCTCAAGAATTCAATTTTTTATTGAAAATTTTAATAAATTATTCTTCTCTGGAATTCAATTATTAGTGAAAGTTTTAATAAATTCTTTGCAACTATTCAATTATTTTCATAAATAATAAAATTCATCGCAGGATTTCAATTATTTTTAATACAATTTCACAGGAATTTCTCAAAAATGTAATTATTCTTAAAAATTTAATTTCAATTCCTCGAAAAAATCAATTATTTAAAAAAATGTTTAAAATTCGTTAGAAGAATTCAATTATTTACAAAAATATTAGAATTTTTCACAGGAATTCATATAATTTTCAAATATTTTAATAAAATTGTTGAGAAGAAATTAATTATTTTAAATACAATTTTAATTAAATTTTTTTTAAATAATTCAATTATTCTTTTAGATTTTAATAAAATTCTTCCCAAGAATTCCATTATTTACATAAATAATTCTTTGAAAGAATTAAATTATGTCAATAAATAACAAAATTAATCTCAAGAATTCAATTACTTTGAGGCATTTTAATAAAATTCTTTGCAAAATTCAATTATTTTCATAAATAACAATATTCATCACAAAAATTCAATTATTTTTTAAAATTAAATGTTTTCTTAGAAATTCAATTATTTTTCTAAATAATAAAATGCTTTTAAGGGATTCAATTATTTTCAAAAAAATTTAATTAAATGCCATACAGACATTCAATTATTTAAAAATTTTAGTAGAATTCTTTGTAAAATTTAATTATTTTTAAAAACTTTTCGCATAAATAAAATTTCGCACATTTTAGTAGAATTCTTTGTAAAATTTAATTATTTTTAAAAACTTTTCGCAATTCAATGATTTTCAGTATCTACTATTTTCATAAAATTTCGAAACAGAATTCAATTGATTAAAAAATTTTTTGTAAAAATCTTCGTAAGAATTCAATTTTTTTATGAATAATAAAAATTTCTCAGGAATGCAATTTATTTAAATTAGAATTTGCATAAAATTAGTCGAAAGAAATCAATTATTTAAAACTTTTTATAAAATTCTTGGCAAGAATTAAATTATTTTAATAAATATTTGAATTCTTTGATGAATAATAAAATTCGTTGCAGAAATTCAATTAAGTAGCAGGATCAGAAATAAGTAAATATTTTTGATGAAAATTAGGAAAAAGTCAGGAAAATAAAAAAAAGGGAATAGAATTTTTGTCAGTTTTGTGAAGTGTTTAAAACGAGTTTTTTTTTGTCGTCAAGTTTAATTTTTTGATAGCTAGACTTTTTTTACTACTTTTTTTTAGTTTGAAAGCTACTTTTTGCTACTTTTTTAAAATTAATTTTCGAGTGCGAAGTCTGCCTTTTTTATTTCCTTAAATTATTAAAATCCCCTCAAGCACCTAAAATCATAAATTTGATCCTCTTTTCCCCTTATTTTCAAGAAAAACTTGTAGAAATTATCATTTTTTCTAAGTTAGAAAAATTTTTAGTTATGCTTGAAAAAAAAAATTTTTTTAATTTCGCAAACTTTGGAAAAATTTATGTTTTTGAAACTCAGAAATTTCTTTATATTATTTCTCAGTGTCTTGAAACAAATAAATTTTTCCATAAAAGGTAACAAATATAAAATAACTTTTACTTTTAAGAAAAATCCAATAATTGTTTGGTATTTTTGACAAATTTTATTATTTCCAGAATAAATTTTACTAAATTCAAAGTATATTTTACTAATTTTCTATAAAATTTACTCTGGATATGAAGATTTTTAATAGCAAAATTAACTATTTTCAATGTTGATTTTTTAATAAAATTTATTCAATCTTTCCTCAAATATTACAATTAGCTATATTAAAAATTCTTTTTTTCTAGAGTAAATTTCACTATTTTGCAGTAAATTTTCTTTTTTATATTTTTAATAGACTCAAGCGACTTTTTTGCGCCTTAAAGTTGATCCGAGGCCTGTATGTGTGTCGCGTCGTAAAGAAGGGGACCAAAAAAGATAAAATATTATAGGTTATGTTATGTTTTAAGTGAAAATACATAATTTGGATTAACTCTCAATTCAATTATGTTTAAGACTTTATTACATTTAAAATATTCAATAAAATTTATGTTTCATTTCATAAAATTAAAAGATTTCTTTTTTCATTGAGAAAGATAACAAACAAATATAGAATTTTGCTTCTTAGCTCCCTTTCTTTACGTCGCTTTACATCATGTTAATTTTTAGGATTTAAATATACGATTACTTTTCAGAAACAAGGTATTTAGATATTTTTTGTTAATCGAAAGGAACTATAGTCATAAGCGCAATAGTTTGTGTTTTTATAATAGTAGATTTATAAAATATTAATTTAAAGAAAAATGAATTGAAAATATTCTTTAACAAATTTTCTTCAATTTTTCAGAATTCGTAATTCGTAATTTCTACAAACATAATTAATTTGTTTGCACATGTATATGTAAAAAAATATTTCCATTTTTGAAACATATTATATTTTGTAATTGTAATAATTCCACAGTTTTTTCACATTGCACGACATTTTTGTCTTAAGCAGTGCAAACTTTCCAAACGTATAAAAATTGTTATATTCATGTCACACATTAAAACTTAGAGGAAAATTTGTATAATGTATTTAATAATTTTTTTGAAAATTTTATAATTTATTGCTTCCTCATGAGGAAGTAAAAAAGAATTTTATGGAATGTAGCATAAATAATAAATTTGAATGCTACCTGCATGAGGAAGCAAATTTTTTTTGCTTATAATGAGGAAGCAAACAGTTGATATGAAACGAACATCTTTTTATTATATTTGACATTATTGGAAGACTTAAAGAAAAACTTACTATTGTGTTATAAATTGAAACATATTTTACGAATCGTTATATAAGTATGTCAACATTCATATAAAATTTATTGTATAAATCTGATTCTAATATATGATATTAATTTCAGACGTTGAAGACGTCAAGTTTGTAATCAACTTCGACTATCCGTCTTGCTCAGAAGATTATGTGCATCGTATTGGACGCACTGGTCGTAGGCAGAAAACAGGAACAGCTTACACTTTTTTTACGCCCAATAATTCCAATAAGGCAAACGACCTCATACAAGTATTAAAAGAAGCTAATCAAGTGATCAATCCAAAGCTTCTGGAACTCGCCGATGGTAGGGGTGGCAATTTTATTAGACACAGAGGTAAACAATTATGTATATTTTAGTTAATACTTATGGGGCAGATTTTCTCAAGTGTCCCTTTTGTCCTCTTTTTCAATTTTGGCACCTTTTTTACGTTTTCCGATGATTTTTCCCATTTTGTCAAATTTTTTTAAATTTTGGCACCTTTTTCTAATCAAAAATAAAGAAGTTTTTCTTTTTTTTTCAAATCATTTTCAAAGTGTAATCATAAAATTTAGACTCAATGTTATAGAATTCAGTGCGTTTTATTTTTAAATTAAATTATTAACACCACAACATAATATAAATATGTTTTTTGTATGTTAATGATTTAAATAATATAACGTAAAGAATTTTATGAATTATAAAGTGGTTCATTCAACAGAATGCAGACCTCTAAAAAAATAATTATTAATCATTCAAATAATTAAAATATTATTACTAATAGTTTTTTCTAAAAAACAAAAATATTAATTTTGCATTTTTTTTTACTTTTTTGTTTGCCTCATAAACTATTATATGAAATTATCACGAATTCTAATAAAAAAAACCTTCATTTTTTATCTATTTCTGACAATAATTTCTTTAAATAACTTAATTCTTGAAGAACTATCATAAAATTATAACTTAGAAATTATTTAATGAACAATTTTACTTGAATATTCCAAAATTAATTGAATTTTAAAAGCATTGCGTTTATAATTTTCATAAATAGATCAACTTCAAAAGGTTTCAATTGGAAATTTTATAAAATTTCAATTTTGAATGAATTTAATTAGAAATTTTTAAGAACTTAGATTTTTTTAAAAATTCTAATAATTCAAATTCTTCTGAAATTATTTCAATTTGTCAATATATATATATGTATAAGTAATTATTAAAAATAATGGATTTATAGAAGAATTTTAGTTAAAAACACTAAAAATAATTGAATTTTGGAGTAGTTACGAATGATTGCAGAAATTCAAGTATGTATTTTCAAAAATAATAAAATTCTTCATAGAAATTCAATTATGATAAAATTTTTTTTTAAATTTTCGTCAAAATTTCAGTTATCTTTACAAATAATAAAATTCTACTTCAAAATTCAACTATTTTCAAAAATTGTAATAAAATATTCTTTATAAAATTTCAATTATTTTCAAAAATTTTCCTCAATTCAATGATTTTTAATATCTAATATGTATTTTAATAAAATTTACCAAAAGAATTCAATTATTAAAAAAAAGCTTAATAAAATTCTACGCAAACATTTAATTATTTTCACAAACAATAAAAATTTTACAGGAACTCTCGTAAAATTTTCTAATAAAAATTTTAGATTATGTTCAAAATTTAAAAATTATCAATTATCTTTTTAAATAATAAAATTCTTCTCTGAAATGCAATTATTTTCAAAAATGTTAATAATTTCTTGGCAAAATTTCAATTATTTTTAAGAATTTTCCAAAAGTATTCAATTATTTAAAAATTTTTTGATAAAATTCTAGTCAAACATTTAATTTCTTTCATAAATAATAAAAATTTCATTAGAATTCAATTGTTTACAAAGTTTTATAAATTTCTTCGCAATAATTCAATTCTTTTCATAATAAAACTCACCGCAAAACTTTATTTATTTTTAATACAATTTTAATCGAATTTCTCGAAAAAATGTAATCATTCTTAAAAATTTTATTAAAATTTGTCAAATGATTTCAATTATTTAAAAATTTGTTGATTAAATTCTTTATGAGAATGGAATTTTAAGAAACATTCAATTATTGTATAAACTATTTATTTTTGTATTTAAATAATATTGAATTGTCGTAGAATTCTCTAATAAAAATAGTTTAAAAGATGAATTTCATTTAAAATTTTAGTTAAGAATTAAATATATTAAAAGTATTATAGCATGAATTTTTAAAAATTAATTGATATTTTAAAAATGTTTCAAATTAAAATCTTTGAAAATTTGAATTTTTTATACTTTTTACTAACAATTTTGTAGAATTAATATTTAATTTGTTTTGAAAAAGTTTAATGAAATTTTTTAAAAATTATTTCAAGTTTTTATTTTCTAATATATAGGTATTTAATTTAAGAATTTTCGAATAATTGGTGAAATTTCGTAAAATTGAATTGTAAACAAATGCATTTTAAAATTCTGAGAATTTTTTTTTTAAATTATTATAAATAATTGATTTAATGAAGAATTTTAGTTAAAAATTCTAGAAAATAATAATTGAATTGAAATGATCAGGGTGTCTAGTAATTTAGAAATATAAAATTCCCGGGGTTTTCCCGGTTTTTTCCCGGTATGTAAATAATTTTCCCGGATAATTGAAAACTAAAATTTTACAGTAAATTTAATCGTAATATTTGTAAAACTTATAATAAGAATTGTATTGTGATTTACTTGACGGTAATTTCATGTTTAAAATCAAAAACAGGTGTCGCATCACTGTAAAAATTTGGCACAAGCTTCCCAGTGGGCAAAAAACCATCATTGTTTTAAAAACGTTCCAAAAATGTTTTTAGAACGTTTCATGTCTGCCAAATAACGTCCCAATAACGTTATATGTTTCTAAAACGTTTTAAAAGCAATGGAACGTTTTTGGAACATTATTTGGCAGACATGAAACGTTCTAAAAACATTTTTGGAACGTTTTTAAAACAATGATGGTTTTTTGCCCACTGGATTGTCACATCGAAAATCATTTCCCATATAAGTTAGGTCTTAATTGGACAATAATAAAACATTGTCTAATATACGAAGAGAATCAATATACAATTCGAAATTGAAAAAAAATTAAGTTAAGCGTTGAAAAAATGTAACTATTTTTTCCAACAACATAATAAAGTACTTCATAAAAATATTCCCGGATTTAAAAGAAAATTCCCGGGGGTTTCCCGGTTTTTCCCGGGAAAAAAAAATTCCCGGGGTTTTCCCGGTTTTTCCCGGATTCCCGGTTTTTAATTTTAATTCGTATATGGAAACATAGTAATGATTAAATATTTATTTTAAAAATGAAGTTATTAATGTTTTCGGATCATTTTACAATTAAATAAATTCGTAAATAAATTTTATTTTCCATTCAAAGAATTCAAAATTGTTAGAAATTTGAGTATGAACACATTGTTAATATAACTTTTAACACATTTTAATTTGTTGTTTGGTATATTTTTGTTCCCTTTTTTTAAAAAATTACCCTTTTTCATCTGTTTTGAGGATAAAAGGTGCTTGAGATGCTTGAGATAGACAAAAACTATCGATTCTTAATGATTCGTAATCAGCATGAAAAAATCTATCGAAAGTAACTAGAATTATTGAAGGGGCAAAAAAATTTAGTTTTATCGGATTATTTTATTTATGTTATAATGGTTTTTAAGAAATGTTTATTATTGCAGGAGGTAAAAATCGGTGGCGAATGAAAGGAGGCCGAGGCGACAGAGAGCGCAGTTACTCACGAAGTCGAAGTCGTAGCTATAGTAGAGAACGAAATGGAAGAAGTCGGCGAAGTTACAGCAGAAGTTACTCCCACAGTCGCAGTCCTGTTAATCGCACAGGCAAGTCGTCAGACAGTCCTCGTGGTGAAGGCTCTTCAATTGAAACCCTCCCTACAATTCCAAGTCGACCTCCCGTAATTCCTCAGTTACTGGCAACTCTCATTCCCAACACCACTCATCCCCCACCTCCAGTGCCACAGACCATTAATAAGCCCCAGAATATTCACATAAACACACAGCCGCCACTGCCACCGACTCTCTCCCCTCCGCCGCCACCTCCTCCTCCAGCCGACAAACCCACGCTGCCTCCAATGCAGCAGACCTTCTGCCACCTTCCTCCCTTGCCACGTTACTCGCAGCCGGCTCCTCCCTTCCACCAGCAGCCACCGCCACCCTCCCACCCTCCTCCCCCTCCGGTAGGCCTAAGTTCCAGCTCAATACAGACAATCTCCCATTCTATCAATATTTTGGGGTGTGCTCCGGGCCCTCCTCCTCTACCGAGAGTGAATTCGATGAACTTGGGTGGACCTTACCGTCATCTCGGGGGTGGGCCCCCCATAGGCGGGGGTGGCTACCAGAACGCGTTGCCCACCTCGACGTACTACCAGCCGCCTCCGCCACCCATCCACCCCATCAATGGCATTCATCATTAGCAGCGCTTCTCCTGCACTGCCATGTGCTCTTAAGGTTTGTCTAGATATTCCGGCTCTTTTTCGCCAAGTCTATTTGGACTTACTTCTTATCTTATCAATATCATTCATGTTTTTGTATTATAAGTCAAAATTGACTTGGCGATTCAAATCGTGTAATGGTAGGGGGGCCATGTTTTAAGACATCGATGCAATATTGCAATACTTATATCAATTATCATGTTTCAATGTCATAGTGTTTCGTTAAGAAAGCAAAAATTAGAAACTATTATTATTTACTCTATATGACTTTCTTTTTATTAAGGGGAGCCTTTTTTCAAGTAGACTCGACGGGAAATTTGTTCCACTCTTGGAAGCGTAGTAGTAATGCCTCACTCATCTGTTTTCATTTTGAAAGTAATTTTGAGAATAATTTTTTGATGAAATTTCAAATGTCTATTTATGTGAAATTTAAAAAATTTTAAGTATTCTTTTTATATGTTTATACATAATTTTAAAGGACGTATACTATATGTATTTGTTCTTTATCAGGGTTGCCACGCAACCTGGAAAACCTGGAAATGTCAGGAAATTTTTATAAACCTTGAAAGAACCTGGAAAAGTCAGGGAATTTAAAATTAGCAAAAGCGTGGCAACCCTGTTTGTTTAAAATATATTCTGCATTAGTTATTCATTGCAAAGGCCGTAGTGCCTTTTTCTGAAAATGTGTTCAATACCTAATATCTCTTGAAGGAATTAACGAAAATTAATGGTTCTTGTACGATAAAGAAGCTTCATAAAAGCGGAATAGAGGAAAATTAAAGAGAAACAAGGTTACCAATTTTTTTAGCCTATAAAATTAATGTTTCAAGTCACATTTTTCGCAAGAAAAAATCACAAATTTTAATCTGTAAATCAAGAAAATGATCCAAATTAAGCAATATTGTTCAGTTTTGGAGTCTTTGGGTCGCTGATTACGAATCTACAGTCAGATATCAAAAATTCAAAATGGCGATTCCAATATTTTATTTTACATTTTAAATGCATTTGCCGAAAACCATTTTGCATTTTGATTTGAAATGGTGTTTTTTATTATTTTGAATTAGAAAATACAAAATACAAGAAATGTTTTTTACATTGTAGCAATTTTTTCTTTTAAGGAAGTTCTCAGGCAAATTCATTTGCCTGAGAATTTACAAAGGATTCCATATCAAGCATTCGAAAATGAAACATTTTATTTAATTGCTGACAAAATTTTCATACAATTTTTTCAAAAAACTAGTTTATTGCATAGAGTCAAATTAATAGAATAATGTCAACCAGTTTCAAAGGGGGTTACCATGCATGAACATGAAAGTTGATATTGAGGGTTTTTTTTTGGTCGGCCAGAATGAATTTCAAGTCAGTTTTCCAAAAGTCAAAATGTTCGACCAAAATGGCTGCCCAAAATTAGAAAAAATTGTTAGATTTGCAAAAAATTTGGTATTATCGCTCCTTGATTATGAATTTGAAATCCAATTTATTTAGTTTTAAATAGCTGGTCAAAACTGAGTTATTAAAAAAACCTCTGGGTACCAAGTTCTAAGCAAATTCAATTATTTTTTTGCATTTTCGGTCGGACATTTTGGGTCGGCCATCTTGAATTTTGAAAAACTGACTTCAGATTCGTAATCAGCGATCCAAAATACCCCTGAGTACCTAACGTCAAGCACATAAAGTGACATCATTAAATTTGTTTAATTTGGCCACCATGTTGAATACGCCATTTTGAATTTTTGAAATCTGACTGTAGATTTGTCATGGGACGCATGATTATTCCCCAAATGTCATTTTTCCGAAATGTCATTTTACCGAACTGCACTTTTGCGAATAGTCATTTTTGCGAAAAGCCAATTTTGCGAAATGTCACTTTTGCGAATTGTCATTTTTACGAAAATCTATTTTTGCGAATTGTCATTTTTGCGAATCGCAATTTTTACGAATTGTCAATTTTCCGAAAAGTCATTTTTGCGAATCGCCATTTTTACGATTTGTCAATTTTTCGAAAACTCATTTTTGCGAATTGTCATTTTTACGAAAAGACATTTTTGTGAAATGTCATTTTTGCGAAAAGCCATTTTTGCGAAAAGTCATTTTTACGAATTGCCATTTTTGCAAAAAATACAATAGTGAATTTATAGATACCTACAAGTTTCTATTGTATTTTTCGCAAAGATGACAATTCGCAAAAATGACTTTTCGGAAATTTGACAATTCGTAAAAATGGCGATTCGCAAAAATGACTTTTCGGAAAATTGACAATTCGCAAAAATGGCAATTCGTAAAAATGACAATTCGCAAAAATGTCAATTCGCAAAAATGACTTTTCGCAAAAATGACTAATCGTAAAAATGACATTTCAGAAAAATCTCTTTTCGCAAAAATGACATTTCACAAAAATGTCTTTTCGTAAAAATGACAATTCGCAAAAATGACTTCGGAAAATTGACAATTCGTAAAAATGGCGATTCGCAAAAATAATTTCTCGGAAAATTGACAATTCGTAAAAATTGCTATTCGCAAAAATGATAATTCGCAAAAATAGCTTTTCGAAAAAATGACAATTCGCAAAAGTGACATTTCGCAAAATTGGCTTTTCGCAAAATTGACATTTGGGGAATAATCATGCGCCCCTTTGTCATCAGCAAAGCAAAGACTCCAAAAATGATCAATATTGCTTAATTTGGATCATTTTTCTGATTTACTGATTAAAATTTGTGATTTTTTCGGTGAAAATTGTTACTTTGAACACATTTTCAGAAAAAGGCACACATGGCGGTTTAGTGTGTCCTACTATTCATAGGGGCTCCTGAATACGAATCCCTGGCCAGAATTGAAAAATATAAATTATCGAAGCCAATATAGAGGAAGATTTTTTAAAAATGACTGCAAACAAATGTTTTGGATCCGCCATATTGAATTTGTAAAAAATTTTGAGACTAAATTTTAACATGATTTAAACTTATATATTTTCAGAAATTCAAGTTTGAACCGTGCTCTTTCAAATGAGTCCATTTAGCCGACTCGTGTGTATGAATTCCTACAATTTTTCTCTAAAGCTTACTGTCTGCAGATAAAAATTTTAATGTCTAACGAGTCGGTTGAGGGCTTATTTGCTAAAAAGACTTGATTTAAGTTTAAATTTCTGTTAATAGAGAAATTTACATCACGTCAGAATTAAGCCTTACAATTCTTCAAAAACAGCTGGATTCGTGTTCAGTGCTAATTTTGTTAAAAATCAAAAATTTTAGGTTATGTTTGTAATTTTTGAAATGAAGGTACACAAAAAGGATCATTTTTTAATATGTGACGCGATCTGAAGAAAGGGACCTTAGAAGCAAATCATTTTAAGGTTGGGTTAGAGTTACTTTTTTCTTGTTTGAAAGTTTCTTTTTACTTATTTCGAATTAAAATCAGTGTTTATTAAATATTTTAGTTTTAATGAAGACTTAAGCATTAATGATTTATATTGACAGTTGATCCTTTTTTAGTATTTTCATTTAAAAAATTGCAAACATAACCTATAATTTTTTGCTTCTAAGGTCCCTTTCTTCAGATCGCGTCACATTATGAACCACTGATGTTTAATTATTCATTACACTTAAAATAATCAATAAAACCTGATTTTAGTTTTGCTCAATTGAACAGAAACTTTTAATTGAAATAGAAGTAATACAAACATAACCTTAAAATAATATGCTTAGCTACCTTTTCTTCTAAAGTGCGTCATATATTAAGGTTGGTTGAATCAACACCTCAAAATATTTAGTTTATTAAATAAAGAAATAAAGAAAATAAATAATTAATAAAAGATATATGCGCATACATATGAAATTTCACATAAATTGACATTTGAAGTAAACAAAATCTGCCCTATATATAATTTGGATATTTAAAATTTGTCCTCAAAGGGTTAATGCCCCACTTTTTCAAATTTTAATGTTGCAAATTCTGGTGCTATGCAAGTACTGCGTTTACTCATTTGCAGGGTTCAAATATTTTTACAATTTATTTTGAAGACAACGCATTCCAGTTTTATCAAACTCCGATATATTATTTGTTTATATAATTATTTATATTATTTTTTTATATTTTATAATATAAAGTAAAACATCGAATATCCGAACCCTTTATTATCAAAATTATAAATTATTTTTATACGACTTTCTATTATTCAAACTTTTTACTTTTTTCGAAACTTCATATTAAGGGAAGGTACTACTGAATTTGATGTTTTTTTTCATAGAATTTGTTTTATAGTAAAAAAAAATATTTATTACTCAAAATTTTTATATAATAAAATACAAGTCTTAAAGTAATCGAAAAAAAATTTTTTTTTGTTTTTTTTCAAAATGACGTCATAGTAAATGGCTGCCAGAAGTGGTCCTCTCTGAAAGTTTGTTACACTTTTATTTTAACAATATTTAATCAATTAACTAAAATTTTGAACAGCGTGTTCCTTGGATGTGTATAGTTTTCGTGTTAACTAGGATTTTTAAAGTCCATTAATATTTTAGGAAGTTATAAATAATTTAAGTTGCAAAATTCAAAAGTCTGTCTTTCGATTTTTTTCAATAAATATTGTCAATCTTTGAAAGAATGTAGAATTGAAAAATATGAGTATTTTCTTGTCTTATAATTTTTTCTTATAAATCAGACAATATTTAGATAGATTCAGATTTATAAGGTGGAAACTTTTTAATTCAAAACCAAGATTCAAAAAAATTTCATTCAAAACTAAGCTTCCTCGTAATTTATGAGTGGCCCCCTTAATTAATTAATTCATCGATGTCTACTTATTTAAAACAGTACTTTTTAAATAGAAAAAAGTTAATGAATTATTTTCATTAACATACGTAAATTGTAAATAAAATTATTATTGTTATTATTAATAATAATAAATGGAAATTAAATTTTTATGTTGGAGAAAATTTATAAGTTTTGTATGTGTTTTCGTAATAGTTTTAATAAGACTAAAAAAAATTTAATTTTGAATTAATCATGAAACTCCCAGACTTTTAACTTTTGAAGGTAAATATTATATGTGGACGTCCGAATGAAAAGGGACTACTTGAGCATTATTAGAATTATCTTTATGGTCGAATTACTTGAATTACAATTTTCTTGATAATATCTCAATGGTTACTTTTAAAATTTGCACCGATATTTTTATGTCAATTGGAATTTATCTTAAATAAATTTGATGTAAAATGAAGTTTATATAAAATGAATTTTATGTCAAACGAATTTTATTTCAAACAAAATATATTATATGTTAATTAAAATTTATGTTAAATGAAATTTATGTTCAGTGGTTTTGTGTCAAATAACTATAATGACTCTAAGAAGCAAATTATTTTAATGTTATGTTTGTGTTATTTTTAATTTAATTTCAAGTTTTTGTATTTCATTTAAAATCAATGTCAGTTTTTTTATTATTTTTGATGGCCCTTTTCATGCAGACATACACATAATATAATGTAAACCAAGTACATTTCGGGGCCAAAAGGCTGAAATTAAAAAAGAAAAAAACAGAATGAGAAATTGCAATTATTTTAGAAACTAGCAGATGTCTACGTATAATAAACATCAATTTATGGATTAAAAGTTTTTATAAAAATTATAAAATTACATATTGAAATAATAATTTCGTAATAATGATCGCTTCGTGCTTAGTTTCAAGCGCACCCTTCAAAATATTAAATAATTTGATCAATTGGAAAATATATTGTAGAAAATAATATTTCTGATGAATTATAGTGAAAAGGCTCTTTTTGAAATATTACAAATTTTTCTCAAGTGCAAAAGGCAGCAGAGCAAATTGTAAAAATTTTAATTATCTAACAAATTACAATTTTGTATAACTTTTCCCTTCGTCCATTCAATTCCTCAAAAACCATTGTATTTTAAGAGTTGACGTACTTATGGGTTTTTGTTTTATATTTCTGTGTCTGTTTTCTCCACTCAATATTCCATTTCCCCGCATTAAAATCCTTTTGCATTTTCAGTGGTTTTTTTTATTTCAATTTTTGTTGCATGTGACATTTTGTTGTGCATGACAAGTTTGAAAAAATTAGAGTTAAGTTGCAATTTAATGAAAGTTACATTTTTTTACAGTTTTATTTTATTTTTATTTTTTAATGTAAAATATTGCTTTTTAATCTTTTAAACCTAAAAATTTTGAAAATGCCTTTAAAAAATTTTCCTCTATTCAAAAATATATCATATGAGTACATACCTGATTAAATATCCAGATGTGTATGTGTGTCTCCCTTAATTGTAAACACGAAATCTGAAAATTTTTAGCACATTCATAAATGTTAGTTAGTGTAAAAATTACAGGGTTTTAAATGCATCAAAAGTAATTTAATTTCGAAACAGTTTTAATCAAGATTCAAAATTTTTTTAAAATATTGAAGTTTCGAATAATTTTATTTAAAATTTTAAAAAACTAGGTTTTAAAATTATTTCAGTTCTATTTTATAAATAATTAAATAAAATGTAGGTATTTGTTTATATACATTTCAACTAGAATTAATCCCAATTTCTATGTTTTTTTCTATATGGAGATAAATTTTTTAAATATATTTAAAAGGTTTATTAAAAATTTCATAATTTGACTATTTTACATAAATGAAAAACAGGGTTGCCACAGGTTAGGGAATACAGGGAAAAGTCAGGGATTTTTATTAAAGTACTGGAAAATATTGAATTTTGGAGAAGTTACGAACGATTGCAGACATTCAATTATTTTCAAAAGTAATAAAATTTATCGTAAACTTTCAATTATTTTTAATACAATTTTAATGAAATTCCTCGAAAAATGTAATTATTCTTAAAAATTTTATTAAAATTCATCAAAGAAATTCAATTATTTTAAAAAGCTGTGCCTTAATTTATTTATTAGAATTTAAGTATTATTTTCAATACATTTTCAATTAAATTGCATAAAAAATTAAATTATTTGCAAATATTGTAATAAAATTCTTTATAATAATTCAATTTTTTCAAAATAATTTCAATAAAATTCTTCATAGAAATTTATTGAAATTCAAAAATTTGGCAAATTTCAATTATTTTTAATGTCTACTATTGCAATAAAATTTCACAAAGGAATTCAATTATTTAAAAAGAAATTTTAACAAAAATCGTCTCAAGAATTCAATTATTTTCAAAAATTCTCCGAAGAAATCCATTTATGTTCAAAAATTTATACAAATTCTCATAAAAATTTCAATTATTGTCAAAAATTTTCCTCAATTCAATGATTTTTAATATCTAGTATTTTAATAAAATTTTCCAAAAGAATTCAATTAATTTAAAAACATTTTTAATAAAATTCACGCAAACATATAATTATTTTCATATATAATAAAATTCTTTTTAGGAATTCAATTATTTTTAATACAATTTTAATCGAATTCCTCAAAAATTCAATTATTTAAAAATTTGTTAATAAAATTCTTTAGGAGAATTCAATTTTGAGAAACATTCATTTATTTAATAAATAATTCATTTTTGTTTTTAAATAATATCGAATTCTCGTAGAATGTTTAAAAATTTTTTTTTTTGAAAAAGTCTAATTGTATTTTTAAAAAAAAATTATTTCAAGTTTTTATTTTCTAAATATTTCATTGAAGAAATTAAATTGTAAATGAATTAATTTGAAAATTCTCAAGGAAATTTTGCAAAAATTATTAAATATAATTGATTATGGCTAATTGAATTCTTTCGAAGAATTTTAACAAAATTTTTGAAAATAATTACATTTTTCGAAGAATTTACTTAAAATTTTATTAAAAATAATTGAGTTCCTTGTGAAGAATTTTATTATTTATGAAAATGATTCAATTCTTGCAACGAATTTTATTAAATTTTTTTTAAATAATTCAAATCCTGTGAAGAATTTTATTATTTTTGAAAATAATTGAATTCTTGCTTCGAATTTTATTAAAATAGTAGATTTTGGAAATATTTAAATTTCAGCGAAGAATTTCATTACTTGTGAAATAAAATGGAATTCTTACCAAACATTTTTGAAATTAATTATATTTTTCGAGGAATTTATTTAAAATTGTATTAAAAATAATTTAACTCCTATGAAAAATTGTATTGTTTATGAAAATAATTGAATTCCTTCAACGAATTTTTATTACATTTTTTTAAATAATTGAAATCCTGTGAAGAATTTAATAATTTATGAAAATAATTGAATTCTTGCAAAGGATTTTAACAAAATTTTTGTAAATAATTTAATTAATTTTTGAAAAATTCAATTATTTTCAATGTTTACTATTTCAATAAAATCTTGACAAAAGAATTCAATTATTTAAAAAGAAATTTTAACAAATTTCGTCTCAAGAATTCAATTATTTTCAAAAGTAATAAATTTCTTTGCAGAAATTCAATTATGTTCAAAAATTTTTTAAAATTCTCATCATAATTTCAATTACCTTCAAAAATAATAAAATTCTTTTCAAAAGTTTTAATAAAATTCTTGTCAAAATTTCAATTATTTTCAAAAAATGAATTTTTAAATGTATTCTTTTAACGAATTTTTATAATTTTTTTTTAAATAATTAAAATCCTGCGAAGAATTTTATTATTTCTGAAAATAAATAAATTCTTGAGAACGATTTTATTAAAATTTTTAAATATTTAAATAATTTAATTAATTTTTGAAGAATTTTATGTATATTTAAATTATTATAAAACATGAAGATATCGATCACTACGAGTCGAAAACTCAGAATTTATTGATGTTTTAGAATAATTTTACAATTAAAAAAATTTGTAAATAAATGTAATAGAAAATTTTTTTAAGTAACTAATCATTTTTAGAGTGAATCAAAATTTTCTTTTTAGATCTCAAATCAAAGAACTCGGGTTCAGGGAAAAAGTAAAAATTTTGTCTGGAAATCAGGGAAAAAGAAAATTAATTTTTTGTGGCATCCCTGGAAAAATATCATGGAATATTGAATATAAATAAATGAAATAATTTGAATGTTTGCTTCATAAGGAAGCAAAATTTGCTTATCATAATGAGGGAGTAAAATGTTGATGAAATGAACAACTTGTTTGTGAATGTTGTAGCTAACAGTGACAAGTGCGTCTTTTCTTAAAATAGAAAAGCTCTTATGCTTTTGCATTGTTTCGTTATATTCGTTTATTCTTTTCAAAGAAATTAGTTTAAAAAAATGATTAACGGTTTTTAATAATTTTACCATTTAAATGTAAAATGAGAGTAAAAACTAATATTTATAATTCACGAAATTTAACGTTTACAGAGTTTATTGGCAAAAGCTACTGGAGCAGTGAAAGATGATCATCATCTATTGGGCGGTGAAAGTATTGTGAAAAATAACCACAATACAAAATGATAACATCGATAACATTTTTATACGTATAAAATGTTATTCGTAAAACAATTGTAAAAACATAAATATTGTAATTTTTCATTAAAATTTACATATGCCATGACGTAAAATCTGGGATTTTTCAAATAATTTGTACATTAAAAATAGCTTCACTATATATATTAAAATAGTTTTAATAGGAAGCTCTTCAATAATTGAATATTTTAATTCATCGATTACATTGTAATATTCATTCCTTTTTTTTATACGTAGGTACAGAAAATACTTTCTGTATTTTTGAAAGTAGAAACCATTATTGTACAGTATTTAAGAATAATAAGAATAATTTAGGAATAATTAAATTACATGACAACCATTTTTTTTATTTATTAGTTTAAATTGTCTCAAATGAGTGACTAATATTTTCTTCATTCTCCATTTACGAATACTTTGTGATTAAACTATGTGAGTAATATGACAAATTTTCATTTTTTGACGCGTCTTTCATTGTAATAAAATAATTTTAAATTAAAAACTAGTTATATTTTATTTATTTACCCATCACTATTCTTCATTATTATTTTTTTTACATATAATACTTTTTTAATCAACTCAACTTCAAAAGGTTTTAATTTAAAATTTTAGAAAATTTCAATTTTGAATGAATTTAATTAGAAATATTAAACAATACTTCAGATTTTTGGAAAAATTTTATTAATTCAAATTCTTATGAAATTAGTTTCACGAATACTGAAATTCTTCGCTGGAATTCAAATATTTTCAAAATCGACTATTTTAATAAAATTTCTCAAAAGAATTCAATTATTTTTATAAATAATAAAATTCTTTACAGAAATTCAATTATTATTTTTATAAAATGTAATAAAATTCGTTGCAAGAATTCAATTACTTTCATCATAAATAATAAAATACTTTTTATAAATTCAATTATTTTTAAAAATAATTAAATTCTTTTTAGGAATTGAATTATTTTTAGTACAATTTAAATAAATGTAATTATTCTTAAAAATTGTATTAAAATTCGTTAAAAGAATTTAATTATTTTAAAATTTGTTGATAAATTTCTTCATGAGAATTCAATTTTAAGAAACATTCAATTATTCAATAAATTATTTATTTTTGAATTCAAACAATTAAATTCTTGTAGAATTTTCTAATCAAAATTGCTTTAGAAATGAATTTCAGTTAAAATTTTAGATTATGTTCAAAATTTCAAAACTATCAATTATCTTCATAAATAATAAAATGCTTCTCCGAAATTCAATTATTTTCAAAAATGTTAATAACATTATTGGCAAAATTTCAATTATTTTCAAGATTCAAAAAAGTTGCATTATTTAAAAAATTTTTTGATAAAATTCTACTCAAACATGTTATTACTTTCATAGATAATATACCTAAAAATTTCACAAGAATTCTATTATTTTCAAATTTATAAATTTCTTCGCAATAATTTAATTATTTTCATAAATAATAAAACTCATCGCAGAACTTAATTTATTTTTAATATTTTAAATAAATTCCTCGAAAAATGTAATTATTTTCAAAAAATTTTTCCAAGAATTCAATTACATGTCACAAATAATGAAATTCTTTGCTGAAATTCAATTATTTTCAAAATCTACTCTTTTAATAAAATTTCTGAAAAGATGTCAATTATTTAGAAAAATGTAATAAAATTCGTTGCAAAAATTCAATTATTTTCCTAAATATTATAATTCTTCGAAAGAAATGTAATTAGCAATAATCAATTATTTTTAATAATTTTTGCAAAAGTTCCTTGAGAATTTTCAAATCTATTTGTTTTCGATTCTATTTTACGAAATTTCTATTATTCGTAGATTTTTTAATTAAATTTTTAAAAAATAAAAACTTGAAATAATTTTAAAAGAAAAATTCAATTAAACTTTTTCAAAGAAATTAATTCTACAGAGTTGTTAGTTTAAAGTATAAAAAATTTTAATTTTTAAATCAATTTTTATTAGAAAATTCTACGAGTATTCAATTATTTAAGCACAAAAGTAGATAATTTATTGAATAATTGAATTTTTTCGACGAATTTTAATAAAATTTTCAAGAATAATTACATTTATCGAGGAATTTGGTTAAAATTGTATTAAAAATAATTAAAATTCTATGATGAGATTTATTATTCATGAAAATAATTGAATCTCTGTAAAACTGAGAGTATTTAAGAGTTATTTAATGTTTGTTTGGAATGTTATCAAATTTTTTTTTAAATAATTGGATTTTATTATTTATAAAGATAATTAAAAATTTGCCAAGAGTTTTATTAAAATTTTTGAAAATAATTGAAATTTCTAGAAAAATTTTATTATTTATAAAGATAATTGAAATTTTGCCAAAAATTTTTGAAAATAATTGAATTTTGGAGAAGCATTTTATTAAAATTTTTGAAAGTAATTGATTTTTAGAGAAGAATATTATTAATTTATTTATAAAGTTGATTGAATTTTAGAGAAGAATTTTATTATTTATAAAGATAATTGAAAATTTGCCAAGAATTTTATTAAAATTTTTGAAAATAATTGAATTTTTGAGAAGATTTTTATCATTTTTAAAGATAATTGAAATTTTTATGAGAATTTAAAAAAATTTTTGAAGATAATTGAAATTTTGCCAAGAATTTTATTAAAATTTTACAAAATAATTAAATTTTAAAGAAGAATTTTATTATTTATAAAGATATAATTGAAAATTTGCCAAGAATTTTTAAAAAATTTTTGAAAATAATTGAATTTGGAGAAGATTTTTATTATTTATAAAGACAATTTCGTTTTGGAAGAAGAGTAAAAAATTTAATTTTCAACATTTTCAACAATTAAAATTTACATTTGATTAAAAATGACAATTTTCTGTCAATAAGAAGCAATACAGGTAACATAACCTAAAATTGATCAAATATTTCTTATTGACAAAAATTGTGTAATTTTTATTCAAATGCAACTATTATAATTGTTTAAAATGTTAAAAATTAAATTTTTTGCCCTCTTCCACTAAAACTAAATTAATTTAAAATTCAATTTGTCGTTTTCTGTTAAAATACAAAATTACGACTTGGATTAATTTTTCTTTTGACTGTCCGTCTTTTTTAATTTTTGTACAAAAATATTTAATAATAAGGACTAATAATCAATTACTGATACGATATTCAAGCCAAAAAATGTCTTTTGAACAAAAAATACATACATTTATTAAAGGGATTAAACTTATATTAGTCCTTATTATTAAATAAGAATTAAAGAAGAATCTGACGGACAGTCAAATGGAAAATTCAATTTATATTACTGATTTTGTTGCAAATTAAACTATAATTTAATTTTTTTTCTATAAGTATGTAAACTTTAAATAATCACTACGTAAGTCAGTGATAATCTGAATTAACCTTAAAGTACATTAAAAATAAGGTAAAATTCACGATTCACGTTTGCCGTGAGATTAAAATTGATAAATTTTAAAAATATTATTAAAGTGCGTAATAATAAATAATTATTTGAAAAAGTGAAAGATTAAAAAACTGATAGGAAGGGGAAAATGCAGGGGAAACTAAATTGTGGAAAAAGAAATAATCGATTTCTATGTAGCTTTTACCATTGGCAGAGACAATCTGTGTCAGATGAAAGCGAACGGCGATTGGTTGGCAGTGATCACGTGAAATCAGCGAATGTTCACGTGATGTAGAAAATCAGACGATGCCCACACAACAGTTGCTCGTCGGTGCCCGTTTCGTGTTTCCGTCTTCCCAGCGCTCTCTCAGTGCCTGTTAGCCATTGACGCTCTGTTCGCCGGGCTCTGTTGGTAAGTTTCAGCGACAATCTAATTTCCCCCATTCGTTTATATTTAATATAATACGTTCCACTATGCAATTGCACGGAAATATTACATAATATACAAGTTCTCCCAACAATTAATATATAAAAGAAAAAAAGGAATTTCAGTGAGAGAAGAATTTTGTCAGACTAGAAAATTTCACTCTGTTCCCAGGTTTGATTGGCACGGACGAATACAAAAAAAATTTCTAGCGAACAACGAGGAAATAGATCGAGAATCCTCGACAAACTTTTAAAGATCCGACCAACATGTACAGTAACGGATATTCCAATCAAACCTCGTAAGTAAAAATGCAATATTTGTTAAAATGCTCCTGCTTTAGTCCTCTTGCGATTCTTTCTCTCAAAAAGAAAGGATTCTGCTTGCGATCGATAATTGCTGGGTAGCTTACAATTGGAGTCCGCAGCCGTAATGATTCTAATGCGGCCATTTTGTGCAAACGTCGATACTTTGCAAAATTTTTCAACATTTTAATCCTGTCAACTGTTCACATTCTTTGCCGAGAAAATAATAAAGAAATTCATTCATTTTCATAATCCATTAATTAACCACCCGTGCATATTAGTGTCAATTAATATTCCAAATAAACCCTTTCAAACTTCTTTTTTTCTTACCGAATATTTTTACAATAAAAAAAGATATTTTATCATTTAACCTTGTCATTTAATTCGTGGAATTCGTGTGAAGGTGTAAAAAATTCCTTTTAATATAATTAACTCCAAACTTGTCTTGAGTTGCATAAGTTTTAAATAAATTTCGAGTGCTAGAGATTATAACTGTAATTTAAACAAATCTTTGGTACAGTTGTAAATTAGAATTTTTTTCTTCTATATTTGCATAGAAAAAAAGGCTTAATTTAGTGTAAATCGTAGTCTCGATGAAAATCGATTCATATTGACATTCACGTAATTTTTTGAAGCAAGTATTCGCTTTCATATTCAAGTAATCCATAAATTAGTTCTTTATTTATTTTCATGATTCATATCGTGTTTAATTTCAAATGCTGTGTCAAGTTCTTTCGGAAATGTTACAAAATACTTAACAGGGTTAATACAAGTCGGGGAATTTTCTTAAAAATAATATAAAATTTTTATAATTACTACGAAAGTTATAGTTTTGTGTTCAACAACATTTCAAAATCTTGAAAACCATCGATTCTTGTAGTCTTTTTTTTTCTTAATCACTCAAATTGGCATGATTTTTAAAAGGAAACATAAATTTTCTTTCTTTTTTTTCAGGCCTCGGATATTATAACATTTTCGACTATTTTCAAAAAATGCGACTTTTTTCGACTTATTTTCAAAAATTACGACTTTTTCGACTTTTCTTCCTAATATTGCAATAATTTTTAGTATAAAATGCAACTTATTTCGATTTTTATATATAGTGTGAAAAATAACTATAGACAAATCTTCAAAAAAAATTTTTTTAATAATTTGTCGAATTAAATTTTCAGTCTTTGATCAAAATTTTTGAAAATCAAATTTTGAAGAATTTTAATTGCAAATTTTGAAAATAATTGAAATTGAATTCCTCGGAAGAATTTAATTTTTAAAAATATTTTTAATATATTTCGAATAAATTCAATTATTTTCTAAAATCTTAATAAATCCTTCGCAATAATTCAATTATTTTTATAAATGGTAAAATTCTTTCCAAGAATTCAATTATTTTTATAAACAGTAAAATTCTTTGCAGGAATTCAATTATTTTCAAAACATTTTGAATTGAATTTCTCGGAAGAATTCAAATATTTCCATAAAATTCAATTATTTCCTAAAATTTTAATAATTTTTTCGAAACAATTCAACTATTTTTATAAATATTAAATAAATTTTTAAAATTTACAATAAAACAGAGTTTCAATAATTGAAATTTTGTAAAATTAAGGTGGTTAGTTCAAAATCAATGATAATAGAGAATTGCTTGAAAACTTCAGCAAAATTAATTAACATATTAATGCACATTATTGTTGAATCTAAGATTTTTTTATCGTACGGTTCTCGAGATATTGTCGTCCAAAATTTAGTATTTTTCTCAATGTTTGCATTGAGCTAATGGACACCGCGAACGAAAAACTGACTATTTGATATATATATATATATATATATATATATATATATATCACTTTATAACTTTTGATGCACAATAAGGATTCATCTCAAAATTAAAACAAAACTAATTTAATATTCAAAGATCAGAATACTTAAAACACTGTACAATTTATCGTTTAGTTACAGAGTATTTTTATTCCAAAAATTATAGTTAAATAAAAATTTTTTGTCATTTCGTTTGACATAGAGAATGTGGCAACGTCGCAACTGCCGCGGAGGAAATAGAGTAGCGCGAAAATTCAAACCAATTCAAGTATTTAGAAAATTTGTTTTATTCATCTTTGTCCAAAAAAATTAATGAATAAATTTTCCTAATATTTATTTACTTATTTACTTTTTTGAAACAATTCATCAACTTTCAATTACAAATTAAAGTTCAATTATTATATTTTCCAAATCATTAAACTCAATCAAATTTCGTTACTTATTTGTATTTAAAAAAGTAAATTAAAAACTAATTGTCAACACATGTATTATTGTTGACTCGCGATTAATATTGTGTGACATTTATCAAGGAAACACCAATAACACAGGTCAACAAAAAAAGACTTACTTTTTTTTTATGAGATAGCGGAATGGTTTCCTATGTATTTTTGGACGCTGAACACGATCCCGACTTCCAAAATTGCCCATCACGTCAGGATTTTGAGAAAAGTGGGGGGTAAAGACCCCAAAAACGCTTTTTTGAGGAATTTCAACATTTATTTTCTCTTTAACCTGACGTGCTAGAGACTTCCACAAGGTCTTAAATTAAAGCTTGTAATGTGCACTTAAAGACCAATATCCATAAAATAAAAAAAAATTAAAATTTTTTTCAAAAAATGGGATTGAAGACACCAAAAATTTGTGTTTTTGGATTGCTTTAATAGACTTTTTGCAATTGCTTGGATTCGCATGAAAATGGTTACTTGGGGTTTTTGGGGTCGCTGATTACGAATCCGATATTAGTTTGCAAAAATTAAAAATGGCGGATTCGTAATCAGCGACCCCAAAAACCTTGAAATAACAATTTTCAAGCGAATCCAAGCAATTCTTAATTCTTACATCTGCCATCTTGGTTTCGCCGTTTTAAATTTTTGCAAACAAATATTGGATTCGTAATCAGCGACCCCAAAAACCCCAAGTACCCATTTTCAAGCGAATCCAAGCGATTGCAAGAAGTCTATTAAAGCAATCCAAAAACACAAATTTTTGGTGTCTTCAACCCCATTTTTTGAAAAAAATTTTAATTTTTTTTTATTTTATGGATATTGGTCTTTAAGTGCACATTACAAGCTTTAATTTAAGACCTTGTGAAAGTCTCTAGCACGTCAGGTTAAAGAGAAAAGAAATGTTGAAAATCCTCAAAAAAGCGTTTTTGGGGTCTTTACCCCCACTTTTCTCAAAATCCTGACGTGATGGGCAATTTTGGAAGTCGGGATCGTGTTCAGCGTCCAAAAATACATAGGAAACCATTCCGCTATCTCATAAAAAAAAAGTAAGTCTTTTTTTGTTGACCTGTGTTATTGTGCGAGCATTATTGCAGAAAATCAGGTGTCGCATAGCGCGCTGGTTGTCAAAAAAGAGGTTATGTTTAGTATGCGTTGCGCAGTAAACGTATTTAAAAATCGCAATAATACTAACATGCAGTAAAAATTCTGCTACTAATATAGTTTTAAGTATTATTAATTGAAAATCAATAATATATGGGTAAATTAATATATTTTTCAAATAATAAAGTGTACTTCTTTGATTAGTAACACTGAAACGTGTATACTATAGTGAATATTGGAAATATCAATGGTTTTTAATATGTATTCATGACTGCCATATTTGATAATTTCACAGAATTCTGTCATAATATATTTCAAATTTAAATAAATAAATAAATAATTGTCGGAATGTACATTTTTATGAGCTATTCTATCAAGTAAGATTCAAAATAATTTTTGTAATTATTTTGAAAAAATTAGGCGTGTATTTCAAAATGAAAATAATAATTTTTTAAAAATCGCAATAATTGTGTCACTCGCAGGAATACCCACACTTACCCTATACTTTTTCTATAGATTCTTTGATGCTAAAATCCTAACAGAGAGCCTATTTATTGCTCGAGTCCGCCTGAATATTAGGCGGAGTCGACTGATATTCAGGCGGACCTCTTATACTTTTCGCTAGTATAAGTGCTTATGCTATATTCATAACCTCTACTCTATGCATTATTCGCAACAGATTTCTCTCCGTGTACGTATCAATTAAATACTAAATTGATATTACCTAGAAAAATTAAATTTTAATTTCAAATTAAATTATTACTGTTATTATTAAATAAATATTATTTTAAATTATTTAAATAATTTTGAAATTTTGTATTTAAATATGAAATAGGCATTAATAATAAATATAAATTCGATGGTCTCTTAAATTTCTTGATAATGTGCGATAACAGTTATCACCCAACAAATACGGCACTGACCGGTTTAAATGACGTGAAATTGGTAAACATTCATTTTCTAACAAATTTCCCTCTGTTCACAGGCACTTTTTTACAAAATATGACAACGTACATTTGTCACAAATGTTTTTAATTGTCTGAATTAAAAAGATTTTGTTAATCCATGCAGAGACACGGTTGCAGCATTGGAATTACCGTAGCAATGTAATGCGAATCATTTTGACAGCTGAGCCTTTATGCTCCCTGCATGCTTCTGCCCTCTACTGGCAAAATGGCTGTAACACACGTCTTGCCGCCTGTCATTACATTACTTTTGTAATTCCAATCCTGAAACCGCGTTTCTGCATGGATTAACAAAATCTTTTGAATTCAGACAATTAAAAACATTTGTGACAAATGTACGTTGTCAGATTTTGTAAAAAGTGCCTGTGAAGAGAGGGAAATTTGTTAGAAAATGAATGTTTACCAATTTTACGTCATTTCAAACAGGCAGTGCCGTTTATCTTGGGCGATAACTATAAGTTTCACATAACCTATAAATTTCAGAGACCATCGAACGTTATTAAATCGCAATTGATTTTCCATTTTGTCTTACTAATATTTTCACGTAGTTGCATTAAAATATTGATTATAATCATAAATCATCACGAAAATAAAATCAAGTTTACAAATTAGCATCAGCTGTACGTACATGCAGTGACTGCAGTGTTGCCACGTCTCTAACTACAAAACACTACGTTCTTCAAAACATTACTATTTTTTATTTAATTTTCTATTATTTACAAATTTATAAATCATAACTTAAAGAATAATATTTAAAAATGTGATTTTTTATTTTATATTATGATATTTATTTCTTTTTTGAACTTTTAGAAAAAAAATTTTACTTTTGACTAGCCTCCTGGAACTAAACACCTTAAATTGAAAATAATTGATTTTTTTCAAAGTGTTTGATAAAAATTTTTGAAAATAAACTTTAAACAGAATTTTAATTGTAAATTTTGAAAATAATTGATTTCTCAAAGATTTTAATGAAAAATCTTCAAGTGTAAATTTAAAAATGTTAATTAATGAAAATTGCTACAAAAAAATTATTAAAATATTTTTGAAAAATTAATTTTAAGAATTTCTTTATTATAATTTTTTGAAAATTAATAACTTAAAAAACATGGACAGTTAGAATCATTATAAAGAACTGAATTTTTGTATTCAAATAATAAATCTGTCAAATACACAGATTTATTTGACAAAAAATAATAATAATCTAAGAACTTTCGGAAAATTATTAAAGATAATTGATTTCGAGAAGAAGTTTGATAAAAAATTGTAGAAAATAATTGAATTTTAAGAGAATTAAAGTTGTAAATTTTAGAAGTTATTCAATTTCAGAAGGTTTTAAATAGAAATTTTTAAAATTTTATTCCCGTATAAAAACAAACAAGAAGTATTTAAATATTTATTTAACGAAATTATTCAATTTTTAATTATTTAAATTTAGAAATCAGTGAAAGATCAGAAGAATAAAAAATAAAATTTTTGTGACGACACTGAATTAAATAAACGACTTTTTTTCTATTTTAAATCGACTGAAGCGACTTTTTTGCACCTTAAAGTCGATCCGAGGCCTGATTTTTGTTGGAGAATTTTAGAAAATATTTCTTTGTATTTATTTATTAAATTTAAAAACATTAAAAAAATCAAATATAAATTTTAAAATAATTTCACAATCAACATTTTTAAATTTCACTTATTAAGGGGGGAGTCTGGTCAAATCGAGGGTTTTTTCCAAAGTGTTTTTTCTATAGATATAATATATTTTTATTAACTAAAATTTTTTTTACATTTAAGGGAACATATTCAAAAGAAAATTTAAACAAAAAAAATTAATTTAAATTTAAATATATATAGATATAGTAGTGACAAGTCAAAGGATCGTAAAAATCGGCGGGCGCTCTGGAGTTCACAAAAATGGTCTAAAACTTAAAATCGAAGAAGTTTTGGTTAATATATGATAGTAAAATGAGGATGAACCTTTAATATTTATGAATTTCTATTATAAAAAAGTCAGAGCACAAAGAATGAAAAAAAATTTTCACATTTTTTATTTTTCTCGCTATTTTTGCAAAAACAATTTTTTTTTACAAATTGAGGTTCATCCTCATTTTACTATCATACATTAACCAAAACTTCTTCGATTTTCAGTTTTAGACTATTTTTGTGAACTCCAGAGCGCCCGTCGATTTTTACGATCCTTTGACTTGTCACTACTATAAATATTTATATTTAAATTTAAATTAATTTTTTTTGTTTAAATTTTCGTTTGAATATGTTCCCTTAAATGTAAAAAAATTTTAGTTAATAAAAAAACCATCGATTTGACCAGACTCCCCCCTTAAGTACAAAATTAATTATTGTTTATATTTTCAAAAATTTCAATATAATTCTTCGCAAGAATTTAATTAATTTTATAAATAGTAAAATTTTTTGACAATATTTAATTATTTTTAACAAAATTTTAATAAAATTTCACGAAAGAATTCAATTATTTTTATAAATAGTACAATTCTTTGCAGGAATTCAATTATTTCCTAAAATTTTAATAAATTCTTCGAAACAATTCAACTATTTTAATAAATTAATACTAAAATTCTTTGCAGAAATGAAATTATTTTTAATTCAATTGAAATAAAATGACATGAAAGAATATCAACAATATTTTCAAAAATTTCCATAAAATTCCATTTCAACAAGAATTTAAAATTCTCTAAAAATAATTCAATTATTCTCAAAATATTTTTAAAAAAATTCTTATTATGAAAATTAAATTACTTTCAATGCAATGTTTAAATATATTCGTAAATATATTATTATCAAATATTTCCATAAAATTCTTCAAAACAATTCAATTTTTCCTAAAATTTAAATAAATTCTTCGATCAATTCAATTATTTTTATAAATAGTAAAATTCTTCGCAAGAATTAAATTATTTTTATAAATAATAAAATTCTTCTCAGGAATTCAATTCTTTTCAGTACAATTTTAATAAAATTCTTCTTCATAAAATACAATTGCTTTCAAAATTTTCAATTAAAATTATTTAAAAAAAACTCTATTATTTTAAAAAAATTCAAAGAAATTATTTAATAGAATTTAATTAGGATTTTTGAAAATTCTAATAAAATTCATCGCGAGAATTAATTATTATTTTCATAAATAAAAAAATTCTTTGAAGGAATTCTATTAATCTCTTGAAATATTTTGATAAGATTCTTTGCAAGAATTCAATGATTTTCAATACATTAATTTTAAAATTGAAAATATTTAAAAAGAAAAATTTTAAAACAAGTTAGGAAACAAAAAAGCAATCAACAACTAACTTTAAACTGCGAACAGATTACCGGAATACAATGTTTGTTAATATAGAAGATAGAAGAAGATTCTGAAAAATTAGGTTTTTTAAACTTTAATTATTTGTCTTATTTTTAAGATATTTAATTAATTTTCACCTATTCTGTAAATTTTTCAAATCATTTGTGATCGCCTTTATAGGAATTTTTTCTTAAAGAAATTTCAATTTTTCTAAAAAAAATGTTTTATAAATATTAATTTTTTGAAGATTTTTGAATAAAAAAGTGATGCAAATTATTATTTCTTTTTTTTCAAAGAAGAACAGAATTTTGTTAAGAAATTGTGATTAGAAATAAGAATTTTGCAAAAAATGTTCTTTTTTTTAAAAAGAAACTCAAAATTTTGTGAACAGAATTGTGATTGTGATTGAGAAACAGAAAATATGCAAAATAGTTTCTATTTCCAAAATTCTTAATTTTGTTAACAATTTTCTAACTTTTATCAAAATTATAGAGTTTCACAAATTTCAGGAAAATAAATAGGTATTAGAAATCATAATTTTTAGAAAAAAAAATTGTTTAAATCAAAACTTGTTAGAAACATTTTTTTTAGAAAACAGATTTTATTAGAAATCGCTTTTTTAGACAAAAAGGATTAGAAAATAGTTTTTTTTTTAAAAAGTGACTACCTACCGAAATTTTTATTGATCTCAAAATGAATTAATTAAACGGTAAGAATGACTTATATATTGAAAATTGCATAAATAATAAAAATTAGTATAGGTTAACAGAAAAATTAAAAAAATTTGTTTTTATATCTTGAAAACCTTGCAAGCGCCATAAATTATTTTTCAAACTGTTAGACATTCTGCAAATGTTAATTCTGTAAGAATTATCTAATTTTTGTTCTAACTGAACAGTTAATATTTTTTATCGGGATCAAGAAAATAGTTAAAATTCAGTTTAGAAATAGAAAAAAAAGGTTTAAACAATTTCTAATCTGTGTTGTGAATTTAAAATCGATGTAAGAAAATTAAAAAAAAACCTTTAACGAAGTAGTTTTCTAATATCAATCGAAATGATATGGTTCAATAAGTTTGCGCAAATAAATGTTTTATAACCGTTGCACAAAATGAAATGGTTTTCTACCAAGCCGACGAAATTTAAATTTTATATACATTTAAGTAAGAATAATAATTTCTTTATAACTCGTTCTAAATAAATGAGTAATAATAAATTAGTAATAAACAAAAGAAAATAATTAAAAATTGAAAGTTTCAGACCCAGGGGGAACAGAGAGTTTGGCAACCGGAAAGGGGGTGGAACTTATTGGAACAGCCAACAACAAACTCAACAAACTGATTTTAGTTCAAAGAAGTCAAGTTTAAAAAAGATGCCAGGTGATTTGTTGAAGAAACCAAATTGGACTTTGGGTGATTTACCTTATATTAATAAAAATTTATACACACCAAATCCCAATATATTTAAACGTTCTCTCGAAGAAGTCAACAAATACAGAGTAGAAAAGGAAATCACTGTTAAAGGAAAAAATATCCCCTTTCCAATACAGGCATTTGAGGAAAGCAACTTTCCTTATTATGTTATGGACAAAATCATAAAGCAGGGCTTCAAAGAACCAACCGCTATTCAAGCTCAAGGTTGGCCGATTGCGCAAAGTGGAAGAGACATGGTTGGAATTGCACAAACCGGATCTGGTAAAACTTTAGCTGTGAGTATTCATCCTTTCTATCTAAATTCAATTTTATTTTATTTAACATTGCTTGTGTCTTTGTTCTAGCTAAAATAACAAGCGCTCAATGCATATTTAACAATAATGTCTATTAACATTTCTCATTTTCTTATAAATTAAAACAAAGATCAAGTATTTTTTTTAACACTGATAAAAAAACGTAGAAAGTTGCTCAGTATTCTTTAAGTGCCTATTTGTGCCTATTTGCCTTTTAATACCTTTAAAAAAACTAAAACGTTTTTTTTTCTTTTATTTAAAAAAATTAAATTGTTAAGAATCGTGTTTAAAAATTAGAAATTATGCAAATTAAAAAAATACTTCAGATTTGTCAAAAAATTGCTACAAAGAAATAGAAATTATGCAATTTTTTTTACTTATTTCTAAAAAAAACTGGAAGTTTTATTACAAACATTGACAGGCATCACAGATAGTCCCCTTTTTCAATTTTACAGGGTTGCCACAGGTCCGGGAAATCAGGGAAAAGTCAGGGATTTTTAGTAACTGGAAAAAATTGAATTTTTAAAATTCATAACAAAACTCTCAATTTTGAATCGATTTAATTAAAAATCTTAAAGAACTTAGTTTTTTAGAAAATTTAAATAATTCAAATTCTTCTGAAATTAGTTACATTTTTTAATACATATTTAATTAATTATTAAAAATTATGGATTTATAGAAGAATTTTACTTAAAAACACTAAAAAAAATTAAATTTTAAAGAAATTACAAATATAATTGCAGAAATTAAATTATTTTCAAAAAAGTAATAAAATTCTTCACAGAAATTCAGTTATGTTCAAAAATTATTGAATATTCTCGTCAAAATTTCAAATATCTTTATAAATAATAAAATTCTTCTCAGAAATTCAATTATTTTCAAAAATTTTAATAAAATTCTTGGGAAAATTTTAATTATTTTCAAATAATTTTTTATAAATTTCTTCTCAATAATTCAATTATTTTCATAAATAATAAAACTCATCGCAGAATTTCAATTATTTTTAATACAATTTTAATTTCAATTCTGTATTTAATACTATTTCCAAAATTTTAACGCAATTCTTAGAAAGAAATCAATTATCTAGATAAATATCAAAATTCTTCACAGAAATTGAAGAAAATTTCGAAAAATTTTCGAGAATTTTAATAAAATTCTTTGCAAAATTCAATTATTTTCATAAATAACAATATTAATCACGAGAATAAAATTATTTTCAAGAATTAGAAAATTCTTTTTAGAAATTCAATTAGTATTTTCAAAAATTAAAAAAAATTCTCGTCATGATTTCAATGATCTTTATAAATAGCAAAAATCTTCGCTGAAATTAAATTATTTAAAACAATTTTAATAAAATTCTACGCAAACAAATTTTTTTTAAAAATAATAAAAATTCCCCAGGATTTCAATTATTTACAAATTTCTTTGCAATAATTCAATTATTTTTATAAATAATAAAAACTGTTCTCAGTAATTTAATTATTTTCATAAATAATAAAATCCATCGCAGGATTTTAATTATTTTTGATACAATTTCGCGGTCGACTTTTTTGCTCTCTTCTTTTTTCTATTCAAATTGTTCCTTTTATTTAATATTAAATTGTTTATTGTGACTTATTTAAAATTACCTAAATTTTCATTTAGTTTCTCTAAAGTTAAGTTAATTAAAATAAAAATTGCCACTTCATAATGATATTGAAAAGAGCGACTGTAGCTCCATCTTCTAACTATGTATGAGTTTTTAAGGTACTATATTTCTTTAGATTTGGAAATGTGAGTGTGCCCTTCTATGTTTCATTTTCATTGCTATAACTGCGAGAGTACATTCGATTATTTTCGATTTAAATTCGAGATTTCTCACTCATGTCTTTTTTCTAAAGGATTGAATTCTTTTGAGAAATTTTACTACTTGTAAAAATAATTGAATTCTTGCGAAGGATTTTATTAGAATTTTTGTAAATAATTAAATTTTTGTCGAAAAAATTCATGATAATCTAAATTATTATAAAACATGAAGAAATCGTGTTTTATAACAATTTTTTATAAATATTAATTTCAAAAAGGATTAAATTTAAAATTTTTGAAAATCTTCATTTCTATGGAAAAATAATAATGATTAAATATGTATTTAAAAAAGAAGTTATTGATTTTTTTCCGATTTTGCACGTTTGTTTCGTTGAACCATTTTCAAATAATGCGACTTTTATCGATTTATATTTCAAAATTGCGACTTTTTCGACTGTTTTTCCAAATTTTGCTACAAAATATCATATTTTTAGTATAAAATGCAACTTATTTTGATTTTTATAGTGTAAAAAGCATAACTACATATAGACAAATCTTTGATAATATATTTTTGAAAAATTTTTCTAATTCAATTTTGGAAATATACAATTAAACAGATTTTGCATAATTTCAATTTTGTAAAATTTAATTGAAAATTAATAATTTTTGAAAGCATTTTATTACAATTTTTGAAAATGAACTTTTAAAGAATTTTAATAGGAAATTGGTTCTAAAAATAATATTAAAATAGTAGTTTTAAAAAAAGTAATTCTCTGAAGTATTTCGTTCTAATTTTTTAAAATTCAATTATTTTCATTAATTTATACAAAAATTCTTAAATTATTTTCGAAAAATTAAATTACAATATTTATAAAAAACTAATTGTTAGAATTGTTTTATCATAATTTTTTAAGATTCAATTACCTTCGGTCAAAGTTAATTAAAATTTTTTAAAAATTTCCTATTTTAGAATTTTTCAGAAATTATTTATAATTAAAATTCTTCAAAAATTTGATTATTTTTTAAATATTTTTTTTAAAAACTCGATTAATTTTGAAAGATTTTATCAAATTTAAATTATTTTTTAAAGATTTTACTAAATTTCAATTATTTTTTTAAAAGATTTTACCAAATTTCAATTTTTTGTACATTTTTCAATTGCACGTAAAATTTTTTAATTGTTAAACTATTGTCTTTCAAAAATGATTTAGAAATATTTTTAAAAGTTAATTTTGCGAATTTCTTTTTTAAAGTTTTTGAAAATATTCTATCTTAATATCTTTAAAAAGAAAAATGGACGGTTTTAATTATTATAAAAAACTGAATTTTTGTATTTAAATAATTGAATTCTGGAAGAGCTGTCGAAAAATTATTAAAAATTAATATAGATAATTGATTTAGAGATGAAGTTTAGGGTGGTGCGACAGTTTATCCATTCCATTTTCTCCACGCTTGTAGAAAATAATAGAATTTTTCAAAGTGTCATAGGTAGTTTTAGTTTTTAAAAATTATTAAATTTCAGAAGTTGAAAATTTTTTAAATTTTATTTCCTGTAAAAAAGAAATAAGAAGTATTTAAATATTTATTTAGCAAAATTATTCGAGTTTTGATTAATTGAATCAAGAAATCAGTGAGGAATCAGGAGCTACCTTCTGTTATTTTCTATGGGATTAAATTGATGAGGTTTTTTGTCTAGAAAAATGAGGCTGAAATCCGTAACGTTTTTAAAAACAAAAACAAAAAAATAATGCGACTATTTAATTTATCTTAGTTTCAAATTCATGTTTTTTTTAGTAACAATTATTAGGTAATAATTTCTTAAAAATTTACGAACATGAAAATTATAGATGATCTTAACTTGAATAAAAATTCTTTTTTATTTTTCGTTTTTAAAAACGTTGCAGACTTGAGCCTCAGAAAAATCAATTATGATGCATACACAAATATTAACTTGAAACTGCGGACAGAATGAATAAAAGAATACGAAGATTATTTATAGTTAATTAATAATTAAATTTCTATTGTTGAAACGCTATTTTTAAAGATTTTAAAAACATTTATTACCTTAAATCTAAAGAAGAAACTTCTTTTTCAGTATATATTGCCGGCAATCATCCACATTCAATGTCAACAAAAATTGAAGCAAGGAGAAGGTCCACTTGTGTTGGTTCTTGCACCAACAAGAGAATTGGCACAGCAAATTCAAACAGTTGCACGCGATTTTGGAACGTCGTTGGAAATCCGCAACACCTGTATTTTCGGCGGCTCTCCGAAAGGACCTCAAGCACGAGATTTGGAGCGTGGCGTTGAGATTTGCATCGCCACTCCAGGAAGATTGATCGACTTTTTAGAAAAAGGCACGACCAATCTTCGAAGATGCACATATCTCGTGCTCGATGAAGCCGACAGAATGCTGGACATGGGCTTTGAGCCCCAGATCAGAAAAATCATTGAACAAATCAGACCAGACCGACAAGTGCTCATGTGGTCTGCCACTTGGCCAAAGGAAGTGCAAGCTCTTGCCGAAGATTTTCTTAATGATTACATTCAGGTTAACATTGGCTCTCTGATGTTGGCCGCGAATCACAACATTCGACAAATCATTGAAATTTGCCAGGAACATGAGAAGGAAGCTAAATTATCAAAGTTATTGCGGGAACTGGGTTGCGAACGCGGAAACAAGACAATTATATTTGTTGAAACTAAGAAGAAGGTTGATGACATCACTAAAACCATCAAACGAGAGGGATGGTCAGCAATTGCAATTCACGGTGATAAGTCGCAACCCGAACGGGATTACGTTCTCTCTGAGTTTAGAACGGGAAAAACTGCGATTCTAGTGGCAACCGACGTGGCAGCTCGAGGTTTGGATGTGGAGGATGTGAAATACGTCGTGAATTTTGATTATCCCAACAGTTCGGAAGACTACATTCATAGGTAAATAAAATTTATTTCAATTAGTTCTCATATTCATTACGAGTCATTTTTATTTTACAAAAATATAAAGTGAAATTTATTTCTTACAAAACTTATTAAATTTCTAATCATATTAACTGGTTTTCTAATTAATAAAATTGATTAATTACGATTTTTTTACATTTTCGCTTTACGAATCACAGGGCTCGAACTAGGTCCGTAAATTTGCTTCAAGTCCGTAAAGTCAGTTTTTTTGAAAAAAGGTCCGTAAAATCCGCAATTTGATAGAAAAACAGGGTTGCCACAGGTCAGGGAATTCAGGGAAAAGTCAGGGATTTTTATTAAAAGTACTGGAAAAAATTGAATTTTTAAAAATCATGAGAAAACTCTGAATTTTTATGTTTTTTTTTTTGCCTCGTAAACTATGAAATTACCACGAATTTTAATACAAAACTCAATTTTTCAAGAACTATCATAAAATTCAGGGTTGCCACGCAACCTGAAAACCTGGAAATGTCAGGGAATTTTTATAAACCTTGAAAAAACCTGGAAAATTATTGTTTTCTAAAGTTATTGTGCTTATTCTTGAAATCTAATTTTTCTTTAATTCAATTTTCTTAATTTAATTTTAAAAGAGTTGCCTTTACAATTTTTCTTCGCAATAACTCAATTATTTTCATAAATAATAAAAAAATTTATAGATTTACAATTATTTTCATAAATAATAAAACTCATCGCAAAATTTCAATTATTTTTAATACACTTTTAATGGAATTTCTCGAAAAATGTATAATTATTCTTATAATTTTTATTAAAACTCATCAAAGAAATTCAATTATTTTTAAAAGTAATAAAATTCTTCGCAGAAATTCAATTATGGTCAAAAATTTAAAAAAACTTATTGTCAAAATTTCAATTATCTTTATAAATATTAAAATTTTTCTCCAAAATTCAATTATTTTCAAAAATTTTAATGAAATTCTTTTTAACAAATTCAATTTTTTTTTAAATTTTCCTCCAGTCAATGATTTTTAATATCTACTATTTTAATAAAATTTTCCAAAAGAAATGAATTATTTTAAACATTTTTTATAAATTTCTTCGCAATAAATATATTATTTTCAAAAATATTCAATTTATGTTTACAGAGATTCAATTATTTATTTATTTATTTACATACGGGTCAAGCCCTTTAATTAAAGTCTAAGTTGCAACCGGCAACTAAATTATACAAATTTGGCATTATAACAGTTAGGCGCACGTTTCAAATTTGAGTACAATTAATTTTATCGTAAATGAGAGGTAAATTTCAAAATATTATTTTTAAAAAAAAATTAATATTGCAAGATAGATATACATTGTTTACCTCTCCATGAAATCTATTAACTATTAAAATGTTGCCAAAATTAGTTTTATACAAAGTTACAAAAAAACGAATTATTTTTATAAATATGTAATACAATTTTTTACAGGGATTCAATTATTATTTTCATAGATAATAAAACTCATTGCAGAATTTCAATTATTTTTGATACAATTTTAATCAAATTCCTCGAAAAATATAATTATTCTTAAAATTTTATTAAAATTCGTCAAAATAATGCAATTATTTAAAAATTTGTTTATAAAATTCTTTATGAGAATTGAATTTTTGGAAACATTCAATTATTCAATAAATTAATTGTTTTTGTATTACAAATAATTAGGTATTTAAAAAGAAATATTATTAAAAAATTCGTCTCAAGAATTCAATTATTTTCAAAAGTAATAAAATTCTTAGCAGAAATTTAATTATGGTCAAAAGTTTAAAAAAAGTTATAGTCAAAATTTCAATTATTTTTATAAATATTAAAATTTTTCTCTAAAATTCAATTACTTTCAAAAATTTTAATAAAATTCTTGTCAATATTTCAATTATTTAGGCAAATTTTAATAAAGTTCTTGACAAAATTTCAATTATTTTCAAAAACTTTTCTCAATTCAATGAAATTTTTTACAGAGATTCAATTATTTTTAATACAATTTTAATCTAATTTCTCGAAAAATGAAATTGAGCGGCTGGATCGTAGAAGGGCACGTAAATTTTTCTCGGCCGAAATCTAAGTCCCCTGAATACTCAAAATTCAACTTCTGATTTTAAATATTTTAAATACACATCCTTATAGAAAATTTCATTCCGCATCTTTTTTTCTTATGAAATTTTTTTCTATCTATTTGCGTTTTCGAAATATTTGGGAAAAACTGTTTTTTTGAAAACTTTAAATTTAATGACATTTTTCACTTCAACTCGAGATATTTCAGACAATTTAAAAAATTTTTCAATGAAACAAAGAAGAAAATACGTCTTAAGGTATTCTACGAATCCTTTCTCCTTTCTTAAAAAAGACATGGAGTGGAAAGGTCGAATGTATCGAAAAGTATCGAAGTAAAGAATGGGCAATTGTAAAATCTTAATAGAAGGGTGTTTTTAAAATTGTTTGTACATGTGAAGGTGGCGCTGTAGTCGTATGTTATTTAAAAAGAGCGCGAATATATAAATTTTATTTTTGTTAAGAGAAAGTACTCATAATAAATCTTATTTTGCATTGTCAAAAAAACGTCAACATTTCAAATATAAATAAGCAAATTATTAACTGAAAAAATTTGAATATTATTATTAATGAAATAATGGACTTGGACAATGGACATATAAAAACTAGCACCGTAGACGGGTTTTGTTTATAAACAAAATTGTTATTAATTTTTTTCTTTATTAATGTAAAAATCACGGCTCTCGTTTAACGGGCGAATTTTGAGTAACAGAGAACTTTCAGTGAGAAAGTTGTTCATTATGATCCAAAAAAGTTTTCTGGAAAATCATAAGGCTAATAAATAATTAGTGTTGAAATGGTAAATGTTTAAAGTTGCTAGCGACCAAACGCATAACACGCGCCACTGGCCATAACCTATGAAACAACACTCCCAAGCACGTATGGCGAGTGACGCGTGCTATACGTATGGTCGCTAGCAACTTTAAACATTCACCATTTCGACACTAATTATTTATTAGCCTTATGATTTTCCAGAAAACTTTTTTGGATCATAATGAACAACTTTCTCACTGAAAGTTCTCTGTTACTCAAAATTCGCCCGTTAAACGAGAGCCGTGAAGATTGTAGTTCGTGATTTTTACATTAATAAAGAAAAAAATTAATAACAATTTTGTTTATAAACAAAACCACTTTTTTCTTTTTTTTATCATTCGTAGAATACCTCAAGACGTATTTTCTTCTTTGTTTCATTGAAAAATTTTTAAAATTGTCTGAAATATCGCGAGTTGAAGTGAAAAATGTCTTAAAATTTAAAGTTTTCAAAAAAACAGTTTTTCCCAAATATTTCGAAAACGCAAATAGATAGAAAAAAATTTCATAAGAAAAAAAGATGCGGAATGAAATTTTCTATAAGGATGTGTATTTGAAATATTTAAAATCAGAAGTTGAATTTTGAGTGTTTAGGGGACTTAGATTTCGGCTGAGAAAAATTTACGTGCCCTTCTACGATCCAGCCGCTCAATTATTCTTAAAAATTTTATTGAAATTCTTCAAAAGAATTTTAATTACCTATTTAAAAATTTATTGATAAAATTCTTTAAATGAGAGTTGAATTTAAAAAAAAACATTCAATTTCGTAGAATTTTCTAATAATAATTGATTGAAATATGAATTTCAGTTAAAACTTTAGATAATAATTGAGTTTTGAAAAGCAGGTTTTAAATTATAATCTTTGAATGTTTGAATTTTTCATACATTTAACTTAAAATTGTGTAGATTTAATTTTTTTGTAAAAGTTGAATTGAATTTTTGTGAAGTTATTTCAAGTTTTTATTTTCTAATATATATTTGATTGAAGAATTTCCGAATACCTGAATAAACGATGAAATTTCGTAAAATTCAATTGTAAACAAAAGGATTTGAGAATGTTGAAAGAAATTTTGCAGAAATTATTAATAATAATTAATTTACACTTTATAAAGAAGAATTTTAGTTAAAACTTGTGGGAAAAAAATAATTGAATTAAAATAATGAAAGTAATTTTGAATAAGTTACAGTAACAATATTCTTATAATTGGTATAAAATGATGATTTTATCAGTCCAACATTTTTAATTATTATAAAACATGAAGATATCGATTGCTCCGAATCAGAGACTCGGAGTTATCGATATCTTCATGTTTTATAACATATTTAATTTAAAAAAGGTTAGAATTAAAAATTTTGTAAAATTCAAATGTAGTTTCAAAAACCTGGAAAAATTCCGTTTTTTAAACTGGAAAACCTGGAAAAGTCAGGGAATTTGAAATGAGCAAAAGCGTGTCAACCCTGTAATCATATTAACTGGTTTTCTAATTAATAAAATTTATTAATTGAGGCTCCGGATCTTAAAAGGGCACACGCGCGAGCACGCGGCAAATAAGTTGGCCCCTGGAGACAAAATTTTGAAGTTGTTCAAAATGAATTTTAAATTATTGTTTCTTGTACAGAATTTCAAGGTGAAACTTTTTTTCTAATAAAAGTTTTTTATATAATTTCTCGTTTTCACGTAAATTGAAAAAAACGTGATTTTTTGAGTTAAGAAATTTTAATGAATTTTTGACTCGTGTGTAAATTTTGTGGAAAAATATTAATATTTAACGAAGTAGTCACGAGTTGAAGTCAAAAATTCATTAAAATTTCTTAACTCAAAAAATCACGTTTTTTCAATTTACGTGAAAACGAGAAATTATATAAAAAATTTTTATTAGAAAAAATGTTTCGCCTTGAAATTCTTTACAAGAAACAATAATTTAAAATTCATTTTAAACAACTTCAAAATTTTATCTCCAGGGGCCAACTTATTTGCCGTGTGTTCGCGCGTGTGCCCTTTTAAGATCCGGAGCCTCAATTGCTATTTTTTTACATTTTCGCTGTACGAATCACAGGGCTCGAACTAGGTCCGTACATCCCGTAAAGGTCCGTAAATTTGCTTCAAGTCCGTAAAGTCCG